CAAAAAAAACTTTACATGCTGGTTAAAAATAATTATAGTCACTTCCTAAATATCTTGGTGCTTTCCAGACGAATATATTGCTTAACCTTTCCGGCCAGACTATTAGCAAAAACATAGAAAAACAGAAAAATATCACAACTATACGTGAAATGCGCAAGATCTTTATATAGATATGTAGTAATAATGATAATAATAATAATACAATACCATATGCAGTAATTTAGAATGAATCCCAATTTTCCAATTATATAATATTCATGTAATTTGAATGACGGACGTTCAATGAATTCAGTATTCAGCAACCCGTGTATTAAAGAAATATATTCCGTACATTAAATTCCACACGGTTAAGAGTAAGTTTTTTTCCTGGATAGATTCCTTGCTGTATTTTAAAAGTCTTTATGTAGAAAATTATGGTTTTCGAGATCGAAAACTGCGATGAGTATTATGAAATAAATTTCGTATACTCTTCTATAGGCTATTGCCACGTCAGTTGGGCATGCTCTGTGAGGATGGCCGCTGAAGAATGAAAGACATGAGCCAGCAGTCTAGTGCTGATTACGTACCAATGACATACGACCATATGAGTGATACGACTGATTGTGGTATAAATGTTTGATATAAAACGGGTATCATATACGGTAGTATTAAATAGAGTAGTGACTTAAGAGTATCATTTCCACCATTGCAATAAATTCTATCATTTCCAGTTTTTCCACCATTGCAATAAATAATGGATAATACTCGCATGTGTTGCAATTATAGATATATCTTATGTGTTGTAATAACAGATGCATATTTATTATTACACCTGTCTGTGTGATAATACCGAAATTCGCAAAGAAAAACAATGAAACGATGAAATTACTATGTTGTCTATTGTATTGAATCTATTTTTTGTTTCCCTTTCATCTTTGAAAAAAGACCGTGCGAAGAAATATCGGCAGCAGAGTTTGTTCTACTAACTCTAGAGTATGTCAACTTCAATCGTTTGTTGTATATGAATAGCTAAATTGTTTTAAAATCCTTGTCGACTTGAGTTGAAATTCATAACATTTTATTTGTGTTTAGTACTGACTGACTTGCATGATCTTTTAATCTACAATTCATGAATTTAGTAAAGTATAACAATAAACTTTACTTTGTAGTGATCCAAAACATAAACATCAACATTCAACCTTTTTTGAAATTTCCTCCTTTCGCTAGTTTCGGGTTGCCGTTTGGTTTTTGAATAAACTTTGTAAATTGTAATCGCCGACTAACCTATGGTCCGCTTTTCTGATATAAAACATTTATTCCGTGGATAAAATGACTCTCATTTGGCTATTTATACACATCGCCCTGTTTTTTTTTTTAAATCATGCATGAGATTGTCAACTTCAGTTGTTTCTTGCAATCATGCAGATATATATTTCATTTCATGACTAAAACTCTTGTCGACATCGTTGTTTTGAAGCTGGATCAATAATATTTTATTTGTGTTCAGTTAAATAACTGTCCTTTCATTTTGAATGTAATTAAAAAAAACAAAAATCCTTTCTTCTCATTAAATTCTTGCCTTCAAGCCCTTCACGTTCGGTTTTAATTCTCGTCTTTCGAATAAATCATCATTCAAAAATTCAGATAGCTGCATGGAAGTTCATGAAAATCCGCTCCGCATACAGTCAATACTACTAGAAATTAATACATGCATGCAGCAAACCCTCTCCATTTCAAACGAAGTAAAATATTTTCTGAGCTAGCCAGACCTAACCTTCAATATTATGAAATGTCCTAAATGTAAAGCCGATAGCTGATGTTTAAAATTTTTCGGAAACAAACACAGTCGTAAAGATGAAGTGAAATCACCCGTTTTCCTGCTGCTTTCCGTTGCATTAAGTTATAGACTTTCACAGTTTAAGTGAGAGTTAATACTTCATTATAGCTAAACCTTCAAAACATCAAAACAGCACAAATAATATAAATAAGCAAGCAGTGAACGTCGAATGTTGTTTTTCGATTATTAAATTCATGCAGTTATTGCAGTCGACTCTATAAACCTTTAAAGTGATATTTGTTGTATTAAAACTTCGAATTACACTCTTAAGAACTCTTTTTAAAGTTAAAACGATGATGTAAAGCCTTAAATAGTCGGTCACGTCTTCGCAAAACCGAGCAAAACGACATACTGTACCAAGGTCATAAAATGTATTCGTACAGCAAATACGAAATAAACCTCGAAATAAACAAAATAGACTCCTACCATTTCAAGGATTATAAAAGAGTTGTTCCTTTTCACAGCTAGTTCTTTCAGTTCTGATAATATTTTAAACTCTTCCCAGTGTTTTATCTGTTATTTGATTCCACATTTCATATTGTGTTTTCGAAACATTTTTCGAAACACATAGATCATTGATCTATATAATAATATATAGCTCAGTGTTGCACACATGCACGTGCATCTGGAATTTTGAAAACGACAATAAGCGTCATAAAGTAAGAAAGAATACGTCATTGATATGGAACGACCGCTCTCAGTGAACCTTTTGCAAGCAAGATGAAGCTTTTCTTTTCATTACTATTGTAAATACCAGTGTAATCTGACTACATGCATTCACTGTTGGATATATATTATCATAAACCCTAAGGCAGGAAGCCAGTAAAGTACCAACGTTCAACAGATACGACCAAATTATTGTCATTGTCAATGAGTCTCGATAACATAAAAACTGTTCTTCACCGCTCCCTTTCTCGCTCAAAAGCAAACAAGAAACAAACACAAGTTCAGAAAACATTTATTTCTTTAAAAAGTTCCAAGGGCATCACGCTGTCCAGCTTCTGCTTTCCAAAAAACCAAACTTCGGTGAATTCGCGCGACAATTTACAAAAACTTCACCTACCTTGCGAAATTTCACCATTACGAACATAGAAGTCTTGTATATTTGTTCTATGGTAATTTGATTGGCTAATTTATTTTATTCCATGCAATCCGACTTATCCTATTGGCTGGCATCGTTCCATGCAATCTGATTGGCTAAATCAATCCTAGCTTTGGGTGCGTCAGCGTCAGTTACCAGTGACGTAACAAAGAAACACATTGCGCTGTGATTGGTTCTCTATATTGTTCCAAGCATTTGATTGGCCCATCATTTTGTTCTTTATATTTAATTGCTTGATCAACTTTATTCTAATTAATTTGATTGGCTTATGCAGTAACTAAGCAACGCGAATGTTTCTATTTAATTACTGTCGTCATTAACGATCCAAAAGACAATCCAATGTCTTTTGGATTGTCTAACCCAAAATAAAAATACAGACTACGCGAAAAAACCCTGCATATTTAATCATTAAAAATTTTAAATGAGGCTCTATGTTGCCGAATACTGAAATAGATTTAGCAATTATATAACCTTTGACTGTTTCCGAAAGGGACCGGGTGATTTCATAACCATATGAAAATTATTTGGTTAATTGGTTCCGCTGTTTTTGTTTTTGTTTTAATTTGAAAGATTTTCGCGATCGTATTCGTTTGGTTCCAAGTCTCGCTTTACCGCGGACGAAATCGCGCTGACTCAAGAATGTGGTTTCGATGTCACCCTGTCCCATGAACCCAAGACTATATGATATTAAACTCATTAATAAACTCACCAGTGACGAGCGTCCATATGTTGGATGCGAAGGAAACCAAGTAGTTCATTATATATTTAAAACCGAATATCTTGATATTCAGAAAAATTCATTTCTCTCACTAAAACTCGCGGTAAGAAAAATAAGCGTCGGATACTAATTAAAGCTTTGACATAATGAGATTGTTACGTAACGTAATTGCTTTAATCAATTGGCCACTTAAGGTAGAACGATGATGTTTTACTAGGCTCTATTTCCGGGGATTAGAAGTTCGTATATATGTTTCCGTGAGAAACAAATAGAACTTTTTACCAGTAAGGTTAGAAGAAAGAAATCTTCTAAAAACACCTATGGCTATGGCGAGACTCTTAAAAATGAGAAATGAGACAATATGTGTCGAAACGTTGTACATTAATTAACTTAGATAACTCTCACCAATTCTGCTGGATTCCGCTAAATTTTAAAATAAAGTTATAATAACAACACTGCTAATTTGAAGGTGTCAATTTAGCACCAAAAAGGTGCTGTCGAGGTTCTATTTTAACACCATGACCTGGGTGCTAAATTAACTCCAATCCCTGGTGCTAAATTAACGCCCATTCTGGTGTCAGAATAACACCTTTGGGTGTTTAAATAGCACTACATTTGAGGTCAAAGCAGCACCTTTTTACCTACTGCAATTTAAAATGCAGTACATCAGTAATCATATCTAAATCAAAATTAATGACACATATTTACCAGGAAACAAAAAATCAATATATTAAACTTGGTCACAGTTGCTTATTTACAATTACTCCTGCAGGACTATTTACAAAAACAGCCAAACAAATATTTACAATTTTCGACAATCAATGTCAAGTTCTTTATAAATTTATCCACAGAAACTCACTTCCCAGCATGTTCTTCCATGGCCATTTTTTTATTATTTGTATTTCATCATCTGTATATGGAGTCATCAACCTAAGATAAATTGATCAATAATCATTAAAAAAGTCAAATCAGCCCACAAGGTTTCCTAGCATGAAGGAGAGATTCTTTTTCAGTTAGACCTAAAGCAACCACTAGCTGTGTTGATCTGAATGTCTTCTTTGAAAAACAAATTGTTTATCAATTATAGCAGAAAATCTAGTTAGGTTACCAAAACTATAATCGGTACACTAAGCATTGGATAAAGACAGTCAAAATAGTAGATTGTGGGGCAATAAACTACAGGTGACATTGTAATTTTTCCTTGGGAAAATTATAGTATACTAATTGCATGATCATTTACCTGATTCTCTGTGCGGCCAAATAGGCCAATCTTGTTTGTTGTTTCTATCTGGTTCGAAAGACGCAATACAAACTTCTTGGCACAATATTTGGCATTCTTGACAACTCTTGATAGATTGAAATTTGCCAACCATACCATGGACTAATAGTTCTTGCACATTTGACATTTCACTTCCAAATTCTGCCTTTACCTGCAACAAAATAATAGAATGTGTTCAGTTGCAAACCTTACTTGCAAAAGAAAATGATTTTACTAAATTATGGAAACTTGATTTGTTATTTGACTAAAATAATTATAAATGTGAATTTGAAAAATGACAGGCTAAAATGGGACTCTCAGGTAACCTGTAGGAGATTAAATTTAATATCAAAAGACATACACAGCATTGATTTTAAACAAATAACTTGCCCTCTAACATCAAATTTATCAAAATAGAGCAAGGATTATGGTTAATATACAAAAATAGAGCACGGACAATCGTTGATATAGGATAAAATATCGCTAAATTATGTCAATAATATAAGAGACAAGCGAAGACGCATCATAAAATTACGGTAAAGTAAATATGAATAAATACGGTATTTATTCATATATACCTATCATTGCAATGATATTCTCTTTGACCACAGCTTGCTGAAGAGATCGCAGTAAAGTAGAATACGTCATTTGGCTTCTCTAGAATAAAAAAATAGGACACATTTGTTTGTTTAGCGATTTGGCCGTTTGACTTTGAGCGAACATGGATACTGTATGTCTGTATTTGATCAAATTCAAACACTTTAATACCAAGATATTTCTGAGATAATACCACAACCAATTGCCTTGAAATTTCCTTATGGGAGCCCGTTGTTGTTCATGATATTTAGAAGTACCAAAATAGTTGAGTAAATACGCTCAAAACCGACAAAACGTCTTCAACACATCAGCATGAACATCTCGATGAATATACGATTCAAAACAGTTTTCAAACGACGCGCTCAAAATATTTGCATACAAGCGCCGACCACGTGTCATATTTCGTTCCTTATATGGACATACATACCACTTTTTAACCGAATTTGAGGTCCGTGGTAGAAAAATATCAGACCGAGGTCTTGACAAAAAAGACCGAGGTCTGATATTTTTCCAGTACGGACCGAATGTATTCGGTTAATAAGGGATTTATTATATGGCATACAGCGAGGGATACAGTATTTAGTTTATTTCTTTATACAATGCGCTGCAGCATTCATATCAAACTCTTGTAGTACAAATTGGGACATTTGCCCTAGCTAGAGTCTAGTCTCTTTTGAGAGCAATACCGCGCGGCCATAAACAAAGATGGCGTTGAGATCGAAGCGAATTCATGAAGCGAATCGGTCTGAGCACTCCCCCGATCTGAGTACTCCCCCTGTAGTTTGCGCATGCGTGAGTCAGCGGCAGCGGCTCATACGATTTTGTGTTGATCTGAATGATCCCCTCGCGCTCGATACACACACGTGCAGACGACTAATCAAAACAAGCAATTAGAAAAATATTTCTTATTACGTTGTTAAAATGGCAGCCAACGACCAAGACACTGGTGAGATTGAAAATATTGTGTCTGGGGAGACAAGCGATCTCAGCAGGGAGAAGCGTTTTAGTGAGCAACGAGAGAAATGTGAACGGATCATGTATTATTTAAGTCATGGTAAACATTTGGATGGTCTGACGAAAAACCAACAGAGAGTTGTTCGTGGCCAAGTCAAGCATTACGTTATGGATGAAACAAGTAAGTAATTTATAGTTCTTCTTTCGTGATAGTTAGATATGATTAATTAATATCGTCATTTAATAACCGTAGACGTAGTACTTTCTTCTCTATAGAGTATGATAATAATAATGATTTATGATTTATGATATGATATAATAATATGTCGATACTGTGATTGTATCACTTGTGTATTAATTTTTATTTTTTGGACATTACAATTCAAAAGTTAATAGCAACATAATGGCACTAGGTTTAAATTTATTAAAGAATATACATTAGATTGATACTTGATCGTGATTTCTAGACAACAAGCTCTACTATACTGGTGGCAAGGAAGGGGTAAAAAAAGAAGTACTCAGTAATGCAATGGGTGGACATAGTGGTGTGAGTGCCACCCTCAGTAAAATTTCTGACCATTTTCGCTGGAATGGAATGAAGGAAGATGTGCAGGAATATGTGAGTTGATATATGAAAATAAAATTTCTGTTTTTATTATACCCTGCCCCCAATTTTTTTTCATCCTGTAAGTATAATAGTACTAGTAGCCTTGTTAGCATCCAAAGAGAAAAATCTTGAACAGAGTGCATTAATGAAAGCATGTGAATTGAGCTATATACTTTTTGAATTGGAAATAAAATTCATCTTTGCTCCACTGTGTAATATCCTTTATTTATCTATATCTAGGTCAAGTCATGTCATCGCTGTCAAATGTACAGGAAGATAAAAACACAAGCGCCAGAGCTTATTCCTATTAAGGTTAAAGAGCCATTGGAGTTGGTCGGAATTGATTTAATTGGTAAGGTTTACTTCATTTAAAAAGCATTAGGTTTAGAATGCCTAGCTCTGATAAAGGGCTTTCTCAAAACGTCAGCAAATTTTCACACATTTTGGTACTTCACTACCATTTCAATTTTGGCTTATATTATTATCTACCTTCTTTAGGGCCATTACCAACAACACCAGATGGTTCAAAGTATGTGTGTACATTCACCGACTACTTCACCAAGTTCGTTGACTTTTACCCCATAAGTAATAAGTCTGCAGAGTGTGTAGCTAAGTGCATTAAAACCTTTTCCTGCAGGTAATTGATTATTTTTGAACAACTTATTGACTAGTACACATCAGATCATATTAATTACTGACTGATAAAGGCTTCATTTCTGCATGACAATATTTTTAGGTGGGGTGCTCCTGCACGATTACTTTGTCCAGATTATTAATGTTGGCGGACAACACTGGGCAACTGTCACCAATATCCACTGTGAGGAAAATGCTGTGAAAGTCTATGACTCCCTCTCCTTGAATGTGACAAAGAAGCTGACACAGAAATTTCATTCCTGTTTAGGTGCATTGCTTGGCACCACTGTATCCAAGATGTTTATCAGCTATCCACCCATGCAAAAACAGAAAGGATGTGATGACTGTGGCCTATTTGCACTGCTTTAGTTTGTTGGCTGGTGATGATCCAAGCCAATTGACCTATGACCAGAGTTGCATGAGAGAGCACCTGGCTCTATGTTTTCAAGTTGGTGAATTAGGACCATTTCCTCTTAAAAATTGTCATGTTAAATTGTAAGTATATTATGCTAATTGTAAATTTTTAAGTGTCGAATTGTAAATAGATTAGCTAATTGTAAATTATTAAATATTAAATTGTAAATAGATTAGCTAATTGTAAATTCATGCATTAAACTGATATTGTGCAGTAGATGAGTCATATTGGTCAAAGGGGATGAGTGAGACTAACTGATGTTGTATGAAGGGGATGAGTGAGATCAACTGATATTGGTCAAAGGATATGAGTAAGACTGACTGATGTTGTATGAAGGGGATCAGTGAGATCAACTGATATTGGTCAAAGGATATGAGTGAGACTGACTGATGTTGTATGAAGGGGATGAGTGAGTTCAACTGATATTGGTCAAAGGATATGAGTAAGACTGACTGATGTTGTATGAAGGGGATAAGTGAGTTCAACTGATATTGGTCAAAGGATATGAGTGAGACTGACTGATGTCGTATGAAGGGGATGAGTGAGTTCAACTGATATTGGTCAAAGGGGATGAGTGAAACTGACTGATGTTGTATGAAGGAGATGAGTGAGATCAACTGATATTGGTCAAAGGATATGAGTAAGACTGACTGATGTTGTATAAAGGGGATGAGTGAGATCAACTGATATTGGTCAAAGGATATGAGTGAAACTGACTGATGTCGTATGAAGGGGATGAGTGAGTTCAACTGATATTGGTCAAAGGATATGAGTGAGACTGACTGATGTCGTATGAAGGGGATGAGTGAGTTCAACTGATATTGGTCAAAGGGGATGAGTGAAACTGACTGATGTTGTATGAAGGGGATCAGTGAGATCAACTGATATTGGTCAAAGGATATGAGTGAGACTGACTGATGTCGTATGAAGGGGATGAGTGAGTTCAACTGATATTGGTCAAAGGATATGAGTAAGACTGACTGATGTCGTATGAAGGGGATGAGTGAGTTCAACTGATATTGGTCAAAGGATATGAGTGAGACTGACTGATGTTGTATGAAGTGGATGAGTGAGTTCAACTGATATTGGTCAAAGGGGATGAGTGAAACTGACTGATGTTGTATGAAGGGGATGAGTGAGATCAACTGATATTGGTCAAAGGATATGAGTGAGACTGACTGATGTCGTATGAAGGGGATGAGTGAGATCAACTGATACTGGTCAAAGGATATGAGTAAGACTGACTGATGTTGTATAAAGGGGATGAGTGAGATCAACTGATATTGGTCAAAGGATATGAGTAAGACTGACTGATGTCGTATGAAGGGGATGAGTGAGTTCAACTGATATTGGTCAAAGGGGATGAGTGAAACTCACTGATGTTGTATGTAGGGGATGAGTGAGTTCAACTGATATTGGTCAAAGGATATGAGTGAGACTGACTGATGTTGTATGAAGGGGATGAGTGAGTTCAACTGATATTGGTCAAAGGATATGAGTGAGACTGACTGATGTTGTATGAAGGGGATGAGTGAGTTCAACTGATATTGGTCAAAGGATATGAGTGAGACTGGCTGATGTTGTATGAAGGGGATGAGTGAGTTCAACTGATATTGGTCAAAGGGGATGAGTGAAACAGCCTGATGTTGTAAGAAGGGGATGAGTGAGATCAACTGATATTGGTCAAAGGATATGAGTGAGACTGACTGATGTCGTATGAAGGGGATGAGTGAGTTCAACTGATATTGGTCAAAGGGGATGAGTGAGACTGACTGATGTCGTATGAAGGGGATGAGTGAGATCAACTGATATTGGTCAAAGGATATGAGTAAGACTGACTGATGTTGTATGAAGGGGATGAGTGAGATCAACTGATATTGGTCAAAGGATATGAGTAAGACTGACTGATGTCGTATGAAGGGGATGAGTGAGTTCAACTGATATTGGTCAAAGGGGATGAGTGAAACTGACTGATGTTGTATGAAGGGGATGAGTGAGTTCAACTGATATTGGTCAAAGGATATGAGTGAGACTGACTGATGTTGTATGAAGGGGATGAGTGAGTTCAACTGATATTGGTCAAAGGATATGAGTGAGACTGGCTGATGTTGTATGAAGGGGATGAGTGAGTTCAACTGATATTGGTCAAAGGGGATGAGTGAAACTGCCTGATGTTGTAAGAAGGGGATGAGTGAGATCAACTGATATTGGTCAAAGGATATGAGTGAGACTGACTGATGTCGTATGAAGAGGATGAGTGAGTTCAACTGATATTGGTCAAAGGGGATGAGTGAGACTGACTGATGTCGTATGAAGGGATGAGTGAGATCAATGATATTGGTCAAAGGATGAGTAGACTGACTGATGTTGTATGAAGGGGATGAGTGAGATCAACTGATATTGGTCAAAGGATATGAGTAAGACTGACTGATGTTGTATGAAGGGGATGAGTGATCAACTGATATTGGTCAAAGGATGAGTAAGACTGACTGATGTTGTATGAAGGGGATGAGTGAGTTCAACTGATATTGGTCAAAGGGGATGAGTGAAACTGACTGATGTTGTATGAAGGGGATGAGTGAGTTCAACTGATATTGGTCAAAGGATATGAGTGAGACTGACTGATGTTGTATGAAGGGGATGAGTGAGTTCAACTGATATTGGTCAAGGGATATGAGTGAGACTGACTGATGTCGTATGAAGTGGATGAGTGAGTTCAACTGATATTG